CATGTATTTTGTTTCGGTCTGCTTTGTCCCAGGGTCTCTCTCTCTCTCTCTCTCTCTCTCTCTCTCTCTCTCTCTCTCTCTGTTGTATTCTCATTTTCATTTAGTTTCAGGAATAATTTTATTTCTTTCTTAATTTCTAATTTGACCCATTCGTCATTCAGGAGTGTGTTGTTTAATCTCAATGAGTTGATGTATTTACTAGAGCTTGTTTTGCTGTTGATTACAAGCTTTATTATATTGTGATCTGATAAAATGCATGGAATTATTTCAATTATTTAGTATTTGTAGAGATTTATTTTGTGTTCAAGAATGTGGTCAATTTTAGAATAACTTGCAAGTGCTGCTGAGTAGAAAGTCTATTTTTGGTCCTTCTGAAAATGTTTATTTGTTAGGTTTATATGATGTAAAATGTCATTTAATTCAGATGTCTCTGTTTATTATTTATACAGTTGACTTATTTATTGAAGATATTGGGTCACTGAAATCACCTACTATTACTGAGTAGAGGTTAATCTGTGTTTTATAATCCTGGAGTATTGTCTTAATGAAATTGGGTGCATTGGAGTTAGATCTATATATGTTCATAATTGTAACATCATTTGATTGATTGTTCCTTTGATTAAAATGAAGTGACCATTCATCTTTATCTCTTCTGATTAGTTTTATTTTAAAGTTGATTTTGTCAGATATTACAATTGCAAGACCTGCTTAATTCTTAGACTCCTTTTTTTGGAATATGTTTTTCCATTATTTCACCCTAAGGTGGTGTCTATCCTTGAAGGTAAAATGAGTTTCTTTAAGACGACAAAGAAATGGCTCAAGGAAGCAAACCTATCTTTTTATATTGAGATATTTAATGAAATTTAGTAATAATTTTAGTATAATTACATAATCTGACTAAATATCATTTTCCTTATATGTGATTGATTTAAAGTAATTGAATTTGTTATTATATTTAAAAAGAAAAATAAATTGCATGATCTTATTCATTATATATAAAATTAAAATCTATTCATTACAAGAAATGAGTGTCAAATCAGTAATTTTAATAAAATAAACAGAAGTTGACAAATTAGGAACAATACTAAAAGATTGTGTATACATACAGAGAAATGGTATTTAAAAAATGTAGTAGATGTGCATGTGTGTGTGAGTGTGTGTTTGTCAAACTGAAGTATATGTGTCATGCTTGAAATGTACTTATTATCTAAAAATTAAAGAGTGAAAATGTAAAGTAATGATTAAGGTAAAGAGCCTCAAGAGAAAATGATAACCACAAAACACAAGTTTGATCAGTTTAGGATTCTCAGAAACTCATTAGAAATATTTTTTTCTGACTCAATGTATACACAAGAGAACATGATCCCAAAGGTATGTGTGTGTTTCTTTCCTTATTTAAGAACACTTGAATATTTAATGGAATATAATTATTGTTGAACTGAGATTTCCTGAAGAAAAAAAGAGAATATTAATCATAGAGATTAAAAATTGTCTTCCTTCTCATAAACTGTTTCATGAAAATCTTCATGGGTAAGATGTAATTGTGGTGTTTCAATAATTTAGGTAAGAATTGCTCCAAACTTGTGGGTTAAGTTCATTTAATAATACAGAACACATGAAATTCTGAGTTTCTTATTTTAGAGGAAGCTACTATCTGAAGCTCACGCACCACTAGTATTGCTATTAAACACATTTAGATATATGTCAAATAATGGTCTATGAGGCTATAAAATGCTGGGCATGCCTGACCCTGTCTCAAACAGTGACAATGGTATTAATAGTGAAATAATTTATTTCAAAAATACACAAATAGAAATTTGAAAATGAGTCTATTTGATTCAATATATTTATTCATCAAAATCATAAATTTATGGGACTAGAAGTGACAAAGATCATAAAGACATGAAAAATCAGGGGAAAACCTGAATATTTACTTTGAGAACTTAGATAAGAAGCATTAAGAAAGTATGAGGTGCACTGTCAAATAATATTGATTCATTCATAAAGAATGATATTAAAATAATGAAAGTTTAATTATTGTTTTTTGTCTTCATTTCTAAATCAATTCAAAATGCTCTATGAACTTGCATAGACAGAATGAGGAAACAGAAATTCATTTTTTCCATATACCATCATATAAGGACAATAACATAAGCAAATTGCATTGGAATAAAAATAAATTATGTAAGAAAGGGAAAAAAGTCTCATACCTAGTGAAATATGACAATATCCACAAGGAGCTTGTTCTGTCTTTATAAATTGGTTAATTTGTGTAGTAAGCATTTATGGAGAAATTATGGGACATGATTTGTATTTACTCTTTAGTTCTTAGTCTGATAAATTACATGAAAACTACAAAGAGCAATAATGAATGCATTTATTTCCTTGGTAACAGGAATTAATTCAACATAAATGTGCTACTGTAGTATAAAAGGATGAAATAAAACCCCACTTTCAATAAGAATTAAAAAACACTTGAGGGAAGATTGTACACTGAAAAAACTATGCTGGAAATGAATATCTATAAAAATAAAGAAATAAGCATGGACAAAATATAAAAGGTACATATATACTAAAATTCCAGAGATAAAATAAGAAAAAAATGCATTATCAAAATGTGATCTTATTAGTAATGAATAATTAGCCATGACTTTTGGGAAACAAGTCTAATAAAATAAATTTATTCCTTGAGTTCATTTTTAATTTCATCTTAGTTCAATTTTAGTATAACAAATCTTATCAAAAACAAACTAGAGTAATGGGGAATAGTAATTTGAGGTCAAAGACAACTATATTTATACACCTTTTTAAATCAACACAAAAATCAGTGTATTTGAATAAAATGAATGAATAAAGCATGTTGAATTTATCCTATCTGCAGAAGCAAAGCATATGAAAATAGAAAAATCAAATATCACAATGACGGAATTTATTCTCCTGGGGTTTTCTGATGTTCCCCGTCTCAAGTGGATTCTGTTTGGGATACTTTTCTTCATATACCTGACTATTCTGATGTGCAACAGCATTATAATTCTAGTAACAAGAACTGACCCTGCTCTTCAGACACCGATGTATTTTTTCTTAAGCAACTTTTCTTTTGTGGAAATCTGTTACGTTACAGTCACTATGCCAAAAATGCTCGTGGACCTTTGCTCCCAAAAAGGAAACATCTCTTTACTGAACTGTGCATTACAAATGTGGTTTTTCCTTCTATTTGCATCTAGTGAGTGCCTCCTCCTGACAGTGATGGCCTATGACCGCTATGTGGCCATTTGTAAGCCTTTGCTCTATGCTCTGATGATGAACCACAGGGTGTGTGTACAGCTGGTGGCTGTCTGCTGGGTTACCGTCATTCCAATTGTGACTGGACAAACGTACCAGATTTTCTCATTGCCCTTTTGTGGATCTAACAAAATTAATCACTTCTTCTGTGACATTCCACCTATCCTCAGGCTTGCTTGTGGAGACACATTTGTGAATAATTTAGCAATCTTCCTTGCTTCTGCAGTGTTTACCATGGTTCCATTTCTGTTGATCACTGTCTCTTATGGAAAAATCATCTTCAGCATTCTGAAGCTCTCATCCACTGGAGGGAGGTCTAAAGCCTTCTCCACCTGCTCCTCTCATCTGATAGTCGTAGTCTTATTCTATGGAACATGTGCTATTACTTACATACAACCCAATACCAATACATCTGATAGAATTGGAAAAGTACTGTCTCTTTTCTACACTGTTTTGATCCCACTATGGAATCCTATTATATATACTTTGAGGAACAAGGAGATCTCAGCAGCACTGAGAAAACTGCCACAGAAGCTATTACAGCTACAGAATTTCCTCTAGCTAAGTCATGTAATGAAAGCATAACAGACTACTTCCATTTGTGTGCTACAGTAATGACCACATAGTGATAAAAATGTGTATTATGTCAAAGTTCATTTGTTTGATTAAGTTAAAGATTTCTATACAATCAGAATCCTAGTTTCTCAGCTCTAAAGAACTAATTTCTGAGAACACTCTGACCTCTTAATAGTCAATCACAGAAGTTCAAAACAAACAAGTGTGATACAATGAAAAGTATGTAAATGTCACAGTGCCATGTATGTTTTTGCTTTGTAGCATAAGTTCTTTTAATTTTTTAGTAGATATGTATCTATTTCAATAGATATTTATTTAATTTTTGTACATTTCATATATCTTAATTATATTTAGACCCTCCCCAACTATCCACATTCCCCAAAATCCCATATAATGGATTTCACACATTTCTTTATATAGGTTAAGCCATATTTAGTTAACCTTACACACCCACTTGTCCCTCAGTGTGAATTCATTCATTGGCTTCTAATGAGATTTTCAAGACTTACTCCTTTAAGGAAGATGAACTCTCCCTCATTTTGCAGTAATCAGTCACTGACAGCTATTTTGTTAAGGATAAGGTTAGTACTTGTGGCCCATTTCCCTAGTCCTATGCTGGATTTTTGCCTAATTGAGTTTGCATGGGTCTTATACATGTTGTCAGTATTGCTGTAAGTTCATATGAGTTCATTCCTGGAGGCCTGAAAGTCTCTGTTTCTTTACAATCATGCATCAACCCTAGCACTTACAATCTCCCCCACCCCACTGCTGATCCCGGAGTCATGGATGAGTGAGTTTTAAAATAAAAATCCTGTCCAGGGGCAGGCACTCTGAAATCTCTTATTCCTTATGCCTTGGCCAGCTGTGTCCTGTGTACATCACCCTCTGTTGCACGAGGAAGCTTTGTTGGTGAGAGCTGAGAGATCCTTTAGTGTTCTCCCAATTTTTGGTTACGCTATGTTCCTTGAGCCTTAGTTGTAGTGGTCTCATTGTAGATATGTCACTAGGGCTAGGTATCTCCAAGATGTTTATTCTCTGTGTTTTATCAGTTGTGAAAATTTGTAATAATATCCCTCTGTTGTAAAAAGAAGTATCTTTGATGAGTAGTGACTTGTGTATTTTTCTCTAAGTATAATGATCTCTATATAGCATAATGTAAGATATTTCATTTGTCTAATCTTCTAACAGAGGTAGAGTTTTCTCTATGATCTGTGACCTCTCTAGACTTACATATTTCACTATGTTTACAGAGTCACACCTGAGTTATCTTTAAGTCCAATTAGATAGCTGTAAATTACTACCAAGATAAAAGTGCACTGCTTTTTAGCACTGCTCTAGTTTGCTGTGGTGGTCATTGTTGTATCTTATAGGCTTTAGAACTGGGATTGGCACACTGATTTTCTCCCTTAGAAACTCATAGGGTATCCTCTAGAATTATAAGAGCTAGTCTTTAGGAAGGAAGCTTCGAGGTCAGTTCCAGCTCCATTGCTCAAATCTTGTTTCCAAAGTATGTTCAGATTTTAGAAATATGATCCTATGGTCAAGTTCTGAGACATAATTAAAGCTATTGTTTTCATTTCTCCGTCTGCACTACAATTTACTCATGAGACGGATTGATTAGGCTAATGTTTAATCAAAGAAAGTTTCAATTATGAAAACAGTGAAATGGAAGCTCTTAACTTTTAAATTTTTATTTCAAGTTTCTGATACACGTTTCTCTGTCGATGTACTTTAAAAGTTCCCTGTCTAGAACTTATAATACTAATTACTCCTGCCTTTACTTCACCTTCACATCTCCTATTCATGATTCAAAGACTTTCTC